TACATTTCTTATTATGTCTTAGGACTATCAATATTTATTTTTTTTATTTTAATTACTTAAATGACTGACATTTATTTATCAATTAAGATTTTTTATTTTTTCATAATGTCTTAGGGCTATCATTAACTAATTATGATCATTTTCTGCTAGTGATGCCCCTCGAAGTATATATAAAAAATTAGCCCCTCTAAATATATATAAAAAATTAGCCCGTCTAAGTATATATAAAAAATTAAACCTCTCCTTTAAACAATAATATATTGTAAGAAATAATACAATATAGAAGTTGACAAACCATTGACGATGCTATAGTCTGTTGAAATAGAACAGAACAGAACAGAAGTTAACAAGATTCTAGTTTTCTAGTAAAATGAAGTACTATGGTAGATCTTTTATGCTATCAACTAACGCTAACCAAACAGAAAACAGTCAGTTTTTCGAACAAAAGTCAGAATTTCTTTCGCTAAGGACTTTCCAACGTTTTATTGAAGTAAAGTTTTTGACCTAGTATTATCTAAACCCTGATTAAAATCAAACAGATAGAAAAATAGTGACTAGATATCGTTTTTATTTTTAATTAAAAACGCCATTCTATCAACTCACATAAATCAACCTGATTGAGTTGCGAAGACAAGATAAGATGGCCCGATAGATAGATAATCCAAAGAAACTTTATTCGATTAAGCAGGCCCATCGGTCGCGTTCTTTTGAGAAGCTATTTCGTTATTATTGCATGAATGGTAATTATTAGTTAATGATAGTTCGTTGTGGAAGTTTGGGAAGTTGCCTTGTATTTAATAGGACGATCTAACTTAATCTTCTGGTTAGCAGAAGATTAAGAAGAAACAGAATTTTCTAGTTTATTAGAGAAAATTAAATAAATAAACATTTTTTTTAGATTTTATAATTTATTTACTTTTAGATTATCGGTCTTGTTCTTTTAAGAAATCATCTCGGTATCATTTTCTGGATCTTAAAGTGAGAGAAGTTTAGTACCACGACTCATTTGTATCGCACATAAATTTCTTAAAAAAACAAAACGAATATCATTTACCTAACAAAAGTCAGATTATACTATTATAGTATAATATATTAATATAATACATAATATATATATATTATAATACATAAAATAATAATATATATAAATTAATATTATAATATATATATATATCATAACATATTAAAAAATATGTAATAATATGAAAATGTGGCGTCCACGTGGGGTAAAGTACTCCGACCTTTATAGAACTGTTGTACTACAAACTGTTCTCAAAAGGAAGAGCTAGGGTAAATACAAATAAATAAGTGAAGATTATAATAAAAAATGCAGGCAGAGGAAAAGATCAATGCGAACTTATTATCGAGAGTAGCTTAAGCGGCTGAATATTTTAAATGAAAAAAAATGCTTATAATAATTAAAAAATCTCAAACATTAATTAAGTAAAGAATTTGTTAATATTATAAAAAATTCTGAATAATAGCAATTTGTTAATAGTTATATATAAACACATATTTTAGTTTATACATCAAGAGGAATCGCAGTTTATATTAAAAGTATTATTGCGATGAGTGATTTTATAACAATTTATTATAAATTTATTTTATTTTATTTTACTTATATTTTTTATAAATTTATAAAAATATTATATACTTATTTATAAATATATTCAGTTATTTAATTCTTTTTCAACTTTTTTTAAAATAATTTATTGATTTTCTTTCTATTTCATTATTCTTCGGGTAAACTTGATTCTTACTATTTATGAAGAACATAAAACTGAAGTTTATATATTTAGATATATTAGTATATATAAAACATATTAATTAAACCATTTTAGCCAAAAATATTTCAAATACTTATGTACAACTCAAATAGACAAATTTATTACAGAGCACGAAGTCATAAAATAATTAATTTTTATTTTAGCTAATAATATTTAAAATTACATATAGCTTAACTAAACTGAACTAAAAACTAAAAACCTCAAATGAAACTAATATAAGCAATTTTCAATTTTTATATATAATAAATGAATACTATATATATATAAATACATATATATAAAATTTAAATCGGCAAAATGCTAAAACGCATATTTACTTTATAATTAAGGATACAAAATGAAACCGATACAGAAGCAAGTAACAAGCAATTGAAAAAGATATAAACAAAATTAAGTAAATATACTTATATTTATAAATAAAAAATTTTATAGCTATTAAAATAATTAAAAGAGCAAAAATGAAGAAATAAATTAAAGTGCTAATGGAGTCGAGTATAGCCAATTTGTCCTTGCCATTTACTCAAACAAAGCAAATCATACACCAAACCTTATGTCCTGAAAGCGCATTTTCTATTATTATAATATATGTATTATTCAAAAAAAAAATTAAAACTAAAATCGAATATTTCTTTGAGAACTTAAATTAAATGAATTAACACTTAAAAGAAAACATATACTCTTATGAAATGATGACAGTAAATTAAAAATATACACATATATAATTATATGTCATATATACATATAATTTATGAGTACGATAGTATTTTCTTATCGAAGCTGGCAATAATAATTGTAGATTTAAACATATATTTCAAAAATATATATAACTCTATATATATTAATATGTGTACATTTTAAAATAGTACACATTATAATATAATTAAAAATTTAAAAACATTTTTACCTAATATTTAAATCAAATATTATAAGTAATGAAATTATGTAATAATTATTTAATAATTAATTAGGAAATTAGCTGAATAAGTTATATTAAAAACTTATAAAAAATTATTTTTCAATTCGATAAATTAAAAAAAATGCTGCATTATTAAAAATTCAATTAACACAAAATAATAAATTAATAAATGCTTAAGAAACCATATATAAAAATATATATAAAAAAAAGTAAAAATTTTTGACTTAATAAAATTAAATAATATGAAAGCAATATACAAATCTGACAATTTTGCTCAATATAAAATATTTTGCTTTTATATTCAATAATTTTTTAGTTAATTGCGTAACTACTTGCTATAATATTTATTTAATATATATGAAAACAGTATTAAGCAGTTTTGGCATTAAAAATAATAATTATAAAATTTAATTAACAATTTAACTCGTCTCGACTTAGGTCTGTAAAGAACTTAAATTTTCGATACAAAGAATTAAAATTGCTTAATTTTTAATATTATTTTTTTATTAATTTAATCATAATTTTAACACCTAAATTATGGAATGCCAAAGTAAATAATTGACAAAAATATTTAAAAGAAATGGTATAATATATGAAACATATATTTAAATAAATTTTATCATCAATTAATTATATTTAATATAACAAACATAAAAACAATTATAATAAACTTATTATCTTTCACTTTCAAGTTGGTGTTTTATTTATTTACTTATATACTATTAGGTACAGAGGCTGGACTGGCGAACTTGTTTCTTATTTGCCCACTTGAGCTAATATAATAAGTAATATACAATTACTTACTATTGATAATGAATCGGAAAAGCAATAAACGATTTTGTATAGCAAACAAAAAAATCAATTTTCTTCTATCGGGTAGTAGGTGTAGTATATTCTTTCTCGAAATAATTGTCTCGGGACTTCGTTTAGGTTAGGAAATAATACTAAGTGGTTACCGTAAAATAATAGCCAGAATAATTATCTTGGAACTTTGTTTTATTAAGGAAATAATACTAAATTATTAAACATATATATTATTATACATATACATATATACGTTTTTGGCTACATATTTAATAAGGTCAATACCTATATTGTTTTCTCAATAGTATTGAACTCATATTTTGCTAACTCCAATCTTGTAGAAGCTTCTACCGAGAAAGAGAGAGAAAGAGAGAGAGAGAGAGAGAGTGAGAAAGAGAGTGAGAGAGAGAGAGAGAGGAGTGAGAAAGAGAGTGAGAGAGAGAGAGAGAGAGAGTGAGAGAAAGAGAGCGAGAGGGAGAGAGAAAGCAATTCTACATAAAATTGCAACACTTGAATGATTCTCTATGTTGCACCAAGTCAAGAAAATTTGTTTTGATAGTAAGTGATCAGGAAGCAACCTCATGACCTAATAGTGGAAGTCATTAATATGCGATTTTTAGAGAATATTCAGATAACAGGGAATATTACTTATATTTGAGAATAGTGCCACAAAACATTCTAATATGAAAATCATACATAAAATTTTTGACAACAATAGAGAAAAATATAGTGGGATGTAGAGAAATAACTTTTAACCAAACAACAGCAGTAACAGAAATATAACTTATGTCTGGGTTAACACTTATAAAATTCTATAATTACCTTGATATTCAAATATTTATTATTTGAATAAAAAAATCAGTAAGTGTGAATCATTTATAAATGCTTGATTTTGTGCTCTGGACCAGTGGCGTAACTACATTTTTTAGGCCCATAAGCAAATTCTAACTAAGGGCCTCCTACTAACATCTTTTTATACCCTTTACACGTTAAAAGAGTGTTAAAAGAGTATATTAGACTTGTCAAGATTTTTTTTAACGCATTAAAAGAAACGTCGAAAATACCATAAAGTATATATCAGTATATATAGGAGTAAGGATGTCTTTATATTATTCTTCCTTTTTTGCTTGTTGAAATGCATATTAGTGACTAAAGCCTAATCTAAACACTAAAGCACTTGATTCAGTACATGATAAAACAAGTGTTTCATAAAAATATGATAATGAGTTATTCAGATGATTTAGGAAGCATATCTTCCTGGTGGAATATATATTGGATTTATTTCAAGAGAGTGTATTAAGGACTCTAATTAGATAATTAGAATTAGAATTCTTGTTGCTAATAAATATCCAAATATTCTAAATATTACTAATCAATATATCACTGAAAAAATTTTGAAATTTGTCATTCAGTGTTTCTTTGTTAAATAAAATTTTGTGGAAATTAGTTTTGTATATTTTTGTGTGAAGTTGGTTTCAAATTTTGTTCTAGAAAGTTTTTAAACAAAACTATTACTATACATAATATTTTAAATATTATCAGTTATATATTCCACATTCCATAACCAACTAAAGTTTGCAAAAGAAGTGTACTAGACAAATAAAGCTATCTTTCAACTTTTGTTTAGATGCTCTGGACAGATTAAGTTATACTACGACCTTTAATAAAGTGCTCTGTTGAGAAAAGGCTATTTCAAGTTCTTAGTATTCTGATTGGACAAAGGTAACACCCAACTTTTAGATAGGTTTTTAGAATGGACAAACGGTTTGTGTATTAAAAAACCTAATTAAATAAAAAATTTGATTATTGAAGTATCTTTAATAATATTTAAGTAATCATTGAAAAAAATTTTAAATTTGTCAATTAGTTTTTCTTTATTAAATAAACATTTGTAAAAACTAGTTTCATTTATTTTTGTGTGAAGTTAGTTTCAAATTTTCTCCTAAAAATAATTTTTTGAGCAAAATTAATTTGTAATATTTTATTTATTATAATTTTATATAATTAGTTATATATTTCTCACACAATAATTTACTAGTGTTTTCAACAGAAGTATTCTGGAAAAATAAAGCCATCTCACAAGTTTTGATATATTGCTCTGGGCGGATAAAGCTATCCAACACCTTTTGATTACAATTTCGGATCGGATAAGAAGACTATTTCAAGTTAAGAATTTTGGGCAAATATGCTGTTCTCAATGGTAAGTAGTATTGTGTATTAAAAACCCTAATTACATAAATGACAAAGCTATTTTTATTATATTCTTGACAGATATATGTTTTACATAGTTAGCATTGATATATCGAACAAAAATTTTAAAATGATTCATTTAGTTTTTTTCATAAAAATGTTTTTCCAGAGATATTAGATCCATATTTTGAAGTTGGTTACAAGTTTTCTCCAAGCAAATTGTTAAGCTTCATTGATTTATAATATTTTTTTCTCAAAAATCAACTGAATAATGCAGCTATATGCAGCAACAAGTCTCTATATAATTACTAAAAGCCCTAATACGGTAATTCACGATGAATACGCTTTGAAGAAAAGATTCATAAAAAAAATATTTGTAAGTACATAAAACAGTATTTATAATCAAATGTTTATCTAAAGAGACTGTAAAATTTAAAAATCTTATAGTCGCAAAAATACCGAGATTCGCAAAGACGCTCGCAATCATAAAAAAAAAGAAAGAAAAAAAAAGCGTTGCCCCGATGATAAAAGTCTCCCGATGAGTCACTAAAAAGATGCTCGAAATCATAAAAAAATGAAACCGTTTATCCCAATATAACTACAAACATTCATTTAAAAAAAGAAAAAAACTGTTCCTCAATTAAACGAAGTGTCCGCAAAAAAAAAGAGAATGAAAAACCCATGTGCCTTAAAACACGATTACGCTTGAAAAACAGATTTATAAAAAAAATATTCGTAAGTACATGAAATAATATTTATATTAAATGTTTACTGGACGGGCCTGTAAAATTTTAAAATCTTATCGTTCCAAAAATACCGAGATTTCCAAAAACGCTCGTACTCATAAAAAAAGAAAAAGAACTCATTTAATCCATTAAAATTAAGAACCTTCTTTCATATAAAATAAAATTTAAAAAACTGGTTGCCCGAAGAGAAAAAGCTGCATGTACTAAAAAACCTAACATCTTTTATAAAAAAAAAATTAAAAAAAAGGTTGCCCGAAGAGAAAAGTCTCCATGTACTAAAATACCTAATAACACCTAAAAAGACGCACGAAATCATAAAAAAATACGAAACCATTTATTTCATAATAACTAAGAACATTCATTTAAAAAAAGAAAAAAATTGTTCCTCAATAAAACGAACTGTCTGAAAAAGAAAAAGAAAATGAAAAACCCATGTAACCTAAAACAAAGATTTCGTTTGAAAAACAGGTTTATAAAAAACAGATTTGTAAGTACATGAAATAATATTTATATTACATGTTTATTGGACGGGCCTGTAAAATTTTAAAATCTTGTCGTCCCAAAAATAACGAGATTTGCAAAAACGCTCGTAATCACAAAAAAAAGAAAAAGAACTCATTTAATCCATTACCTATAACTAAGAACCTTCTTTCATATAAAAGAAAAATTAAAAAACAGGTTGCCCAAAGAGAAAAAGCTGCATGTACTAAGAAACCTAACAACAACTTTCATTAAAAAAAAAAAATAAAAAAAAAGTTTGCCCGAAGAGAAAAGTCTCCATGTACTAAAAAACTTAATAAATCCTAACAACACGCTCGAAATCATAAAAAAAGAAAACGAAACTACGAACATTCTTCTATAAAAAAAAAAGTTGAAAAAAGTTGCCCGAATAGAAAGCTGCTCATTCTAAGAAACCTAAGAAGACCTGATAATCATCAAAAAAAGAAAAATCACTTTTATCCCATTATAATTACGAACATTCATTTAAAAAAAAATTGGTCCCCATTAAAACGAAGTGTCCGAAAAAGAGAAATAAAAGCTCATACACCCTAAAACACGATTACTCTTGAAAAACAGGTTCATAAAAAAAAGAATTATAAGTACATGAAATAATATTTATATTAAATGTTTACTGGACGGGCCTGTAAAATTTTAAAATCTTATCGTTCCAAAAATACCGAGATTTGCAAAAGCGCTCGTAATCACTAAAAAAAGAAAAAGAACTCATTTAATCCATTATCACTAAGAACCTTCTTTCATATAAAAGAAAATTTGAAAAACAGGTTGTCCGAAGAGAAAAAGCTGTATATACTAAAAAATCTAATATCTTTCATAAAAAAAAAAAATTTAAAAAAAAGGTTACCCGAAGAGAAAAGTCTCCATGTACTAAAAAACCTAATAACACCTAAAAAGACGCATGAAATCATAAAAAAATACGAAACCATTTATTTCATAATAACTAAGAACATTCATTTAAAAAAAGAAAAAAATTGTTCCTCAATAAAACGAAGTGTCTGAAAAAAAAAGAAAATGAAAAACCCATGTAACCTAAAACAAAGATTTCGTTTGAAAAACAAGTTTATAAAAAACAGATTTGTAAGTACATGAAATAATATTTATATTACATGTTTATTGGACGGGCCTGTAAAATTTTAAAATCTTATCGTCCCAAAAATAACGAGATTTGCAAAAGCGCTCGTAATCGTAAAAGAAAAGAAAAAGAACTCATTTAATTCGTTATAACTAAGAACCTTCTTTCATAAAAAGAAAATTGTGCAAAAAACAGGTTGCCCCGAAAAGAAAGAAAAAGCTGCATTGTACTAAAAATCCTAACAACATCTTAATAAAAAAAAATTAAAGAAAAAAGAGTGTGCCGAAGAGAAATTTCCAATGACCTAATAACAACTAGAAAAGACGCTCGAAATCATAAAAAAAGAAAACGAAACTACGAACATTCTTTCATAAAAAAAACCAGTTGCCCGAAGAGAAAAAGCTGCCTATTCTAAAAAACCTAAGAAGACCAAAAAAAGATAAATAAATCATTTATCCTATTATAATTACGAACATTCATTTACAAAAAAAAAATTTAAAAAAAGAGGTTGCCCGAAGAGAAAAGTCTCCATGTACTAAAAAACCTAATAACACCTTAAAAGACTCTCGTATTCATAAACAAAAAAGAAAACGAAACTACAAACATTCTTTCATAAAAAAAAATTGAAAAAAAAAGGTTGCCTAAAGAGAAAAGGCTGCC